TATTCTATTCTATTCTATTCTATTCTATTCTATTCTATTCTATTCTATTCTATTCTATTCTATTCTATTCATTTCATTTCATTTCATTTCTTGTTCAACTTCAACCCTTGCCCTAATGAAATAATTACTTCAGAGACACATGTGAAAAAAATGCAATACGAATTAAAGGTAGGAGAAAAAAAGAGTTGAGACTAATACGGTAGAAAGGAAAAATAGAACTAAGTAATCCACATGATCAAGATTTAATCCCTATTGAAAAAAAGGATTGGAAGATTCCATTGAAGCAAAAATATTTTAAGCTTCCAGTGCAAGGAGTTATTTTTTTTCACAAGTAGTGGAAAACTGGTAAAGTTTAAACAGTTTGACTACGTATTAAATATATACTTGAATATATTAGTTATGAGAGCTGCCATGGGAGCCCCTTAACTTTCTTGTATCTTTATTTATTGTTTTGATTTGTACTGGCACTTGTTCTGCTGCAGTTTTCCTTCCTTCTCCACTGCTGGTTTTAGTTTGTGTTGGGAGATCCCATCCCACTAGAGGGATAAGAAATTATATGTTTCCAGCATGTTTTTTTTGTAATACCAGCATTTCCTGAGTCAAGTTCTTCCTGAAAATTGTGTTCACGATTAAACTGAAAAGACCTTCTCTGTCAACAAGACTTGTGCCTCAAATGTTCTCCTTTTACTCTGTTAGAGCCATTCAAAACCTTTTAGATTTAAACATAAATTAGCTCACTTACTGAGAAGTTGAAATGGTGCTTCATTTAAATACTGTTTCTTTAAAGAAAGAGATGCTTGAACAATGTCGATTTACTCATTGGGTGACAAGCTGGGTGGAGTCAGAAGTTTCCTGCTAGCTTATATTTGTGAGACAATACACTTCGTGTCTGGTTTCCTGTAACTAGCCCAGTCTTTCTTCCCTACTATATCTAGAACTGCAGTGGATATAGAAAGTCTACATACCCCTGTTAAAATACCAGGTTTTTGAAATGTAAAAAATAATCAGACCAAGATAAATAATTTCAGATTCCCCCCCCCCCCCTTATAGTTTGTCACATAGTCAGCTAGACTTTCAGACTGGATTTGGCACTTTTATCTACCTATCGAGTCCTTACCAAGGCCCTGGGATAGGCAGATGTGGATGTTTGATGGTGTTACAGATATTGTTACAGAATGTAAGCTTTTCCAAGGAAAGCTACCTTTTGCAATTGACTGATGGTGAATTTATCAATGCCAATTGTGTTCAAGTGATACTTCAGTTGTTTGGGATTGCACCAAAGGAACCTATTATTATTACTAGCTTTGCTTTTCCCACAGTTGTGCTATTTCTATTTGCACGTCTTTGTATTTTTCTTCTTCTTCTCCAGTTCCTTCTCCTCTCTTCTGCCGTCTCCAGGTATTGCCACGTCCACTATCCAGGCTTTTTTCTTATAGACAATTGTTAACTCTAATGTAAGCAGCAGGTGCCTGGCTGTTTGAATTCTATGGTCCCAGAGCACTTTAGTTTCTTATTATTATTGAAGTTGGCTTAATGTTCAGACTGGATTTGGCATATTTGTCCATCTATTTATTGGTATCCAGTTTTTATGTTTACAAATAACTCAAGGCAGTGAACATATCTACCAAACCTTCCTCCTATTTTCCACACTACCACCTTGTGAGGTGGGTTGGGCTGAGAGAGTGTGACTGGTCCAACTGGCTTTCATGGCTAATATGGGGGCGACTCACAATCTCCTGTTTTCTAGCCTGATGCCTTAACCACTGGACCAAACTTGCTCTCTCTCACCCCGCTTTCCCAAGTTTTATTAGATTTTTATTTTTAAGTATACATCAATATCAATACATGAACAGTGTGGTTCCTGGGTATAATTCATTTTGAGACAAACATCACTAATGATAATCATAATAGTTGTTATATGAATCAAACTTATATAATTCTAGAATTAATATACATGGTTTTTAGAGTAGTTGCTCAATATTTCAATGTTCCATTTTAATACCAATATATTATAAACATACATAATATCATCTTTCAATCTCTGATCTTTTCCATCAAGTTATTTAAAAGGTGACATTCCTCTTCATCTTTAGCATTTTAGCACAGGCCTGAAGGATTTGTGTCAAAATTGACCAATATTTGGAACTGTTCATCTTTCCCTCCTTCCCCGCTTCCAACCCCTCCTTGACTAAATGTATATATTTTAATGTATATATTTTAAATTTTTGTCATTTTTAATGCTTAGTTTTGTTGATTAAATTGTACCTTTCCCAGAGGTAAGAAGTGTGCAAATAAATAAATAATGCTGCCACCACCATCTTCACCTTGGTGATGCATAGTGTTGTTTTTGAACCAAAATGCATTTTAGAATTATGGCCAAAAATTCATCAGACCATAACACATTTTCTCATACTGTCAGACTTGATGTAGGTTTTTGCAACTGGGATTGGATGCTTTTCTTTGCATGAAAAGATTTCTGTCTTGCCACTTACCACACAGCCTGGACATATGAAGAATACGGGGGATTGTTGTCATATGTAGTACATAACCAGTACTTGCCAGAAATTTCTGCAACTCCTTTAATTTTGCTGTAGGCCTCTTGGACTTGTTTTCTTCTTCTTTCATCAATTTGGAAGAGACATCCACTTCTTGGTAATGTCACTGTTGTGCCATATTTTGTCTATTTGTTGATGACTGTCTTCACTGTGTTCCATGTATATCCAATACCCTGGAAATTTTATTGCAGTTGTACCTTTCTCCAGACTGATAACTTCAAACAATGAGATCTCTTTGATGCTTTGTAAGCTCTTTGCAGACCATGGCTTTTGCTGTAAGAGGCAACTAAGTAAATGACAGAAAAACCCAACTAGAACAGCTGACCCTTATATGGACTTGATCAGTCATTTTAATTGATGGCTGGTATGAAATGGCTGCTGTTCAATATCAGTCTGAATGTGATTGGTTAATTCTGAACATGGTCACATCTAAGACGATGTGAACACTTACACAGCCACATTCTAGTGTCTTACTGTTATCCCCCCTCTGCCAATTTCAGTTAGTTTTTCAATTGAATTGTGAAGCTTATATGTTATATTAAAGGTGTGGAAAAAATCTGAAGTGATTTATCTTGTATGATTGTTTTTTAAATCACAAAAACTTGGCATTTTAATAGGTACCAATAAAGGAGAATGCAGTATTTGCAGCTCAGGGTTGAAATGAGAGGTCCTTGGTGCTCTCTAAGCTTAGTTGTTTTCTTGCAGATGTTTCATTACCCAAACTAGATAACATAACTAGCACTGAATGATGTTAACTAGTAATGAATGTAATGAAATATTTGCAAAAAAACAACCAAGCTCAGAAAGCACCAAGGAAAGAAGTCACTTCCTCCTTAATAACAAAAGTTTAGGCTGAACAACCCGTACCAGATAAAAATGATTCTTAGTATCTGGTACGGGTTGTTCAGTTTAAACTACTTTCTATGGAAATTACCCAACTCCCACAAAAATATTTTTTGTTGAAATCATTCTTTGTCACTGACATTAAGACTTTGCCATGCTGATGAATTTCTCTGTGATTTGATTTGGAAAAATATTAAGAATTAAAGTTACTGAAAAAGCATATTACCTTCTAGTTTACTTTAAAAGCTACTGACCACTTCTGAGCTTTTCTCTGAATATGGCCTTGTCAGCCTGAAGATAGTGATGCTTATGTCCTAGACATTCATATTTACCTAAAGTTTAAAATGATTAAAGACATCATGTCAAACAAGTTGGGTTGCAAAAAGAGCCAATTGTTCTCCATATGAATAATCTTGAATTCCTGTATATCCAGGGGAAAAAAATCTTCTCAGGCCCACAATTAGTTCTGAAAGACACAGTAAGTGCATAGCAACTAGTTCAACCTGTTCTACCTGGCAGGGTTGACAGTTCAGGTACCCAGTGCCACCTTTCCTGCTTGATCTGCTCTCGAGTCTAAATCTTTCAGTATACTTTCAACACATATATTATTTCAAAGGCAAAAAAATCCACCTCTACCTTTTAAACATCTGACCAGATGTGCTATAGTCTCCCTATTTATAGTACTCTTGCCAATCCTCAAATCTATCAGAAAACTGCATCAACATGAAGTTTGTTATCTTCATTGTTAATCTCTATCCTGCTACTATTGTCTCTATCCCTAGTCACTTCAAGTCACTTGACTTCCCTCCAACATAATAGGTGGCATAGACTTAATAGATTTTACACATTTTGAGGCTGTCCTTACTATAAAAGGAAAATGCTACCTTTCATCAGATATCTATATGTAAGAGGAAAGAGTCTTTTTTTTAAAGATGGCATTCAAATTATATAGACAAATGTTTCTCAGCCTTGGCAGCTTTGAGATGTGTGGACTTCAACTTCCAGAATTCCTCACAACTCAAAAGCTGTCAAGAGTGAGAAACACTGGTCTGTATAGAGAATATACTCGCATTGATAATACCTGATTATCTTTAAGTGAATTAAGGACCTATCTCACAATAAACTTTGAGTCACTTAAAACAACCCACCTACATTTTTACAAATATCTGCTCTATAAGCAATAAAGTTTGACACTTCCTTTCAGCAATGAAGACATTTTTTTATATTGCAAGACTGATATGGGGTAAGTTAAAACTACTTTGGAGGTGAATAATATACAAACCTAAAGGCATAATTAAGCTTGACTGAGCTCCATTTCATTTTTTTGCTCAAATAAAATATTTGAAACAAGTGACAAACTTCAACATCCTATGAGTGTCACAATCCTGATTGCATGATAGCATTTGCAAATGGGAAGAATCTATTTTCTATTTGGCTGCCTTATTGCTCAATACATGTAGAATGTTTCCATATAGAAATAGGTTCACCCCTACCGTGCTTGGAATCTTGGCAATAACACAGGCATATATTTTGTACTATAGCTCTACTTTATAATGTATCTGTAGCAATGAGTTTATTAGTAGCTTGGCAGTAATAGAATGTGAACTCACAGATAAATCTCCCACTCTTCCTAGGGCACTCTAGATGATTATTTTTTGGAAAATCCTACTATTCCAGAGATTAGAATACTAATCTCAATAATTTTAGTGTCAAAAATTAATTACTAACTCAAACATTTTCTTTAGTTTTCAGAAAGTTCTCATGCGAAAGTATTTTATACAAAGAATTTAATTCTATTTTATATAAAAATTCACAAACAGCACATATTGAGATTCACAATATTCCTAGTAATTCAAAAGAGGCTAAGCCTAACAAGTCAGCCTCTCAGAACACAGCAGAACTGGTTCCTCAGCAAACATTCACATGATTACTATGTACTCTAAATAGCTTCTTTCAATGTCATGTATGTTTCCTAAGATGTCCTTTAAATAGTTATACTCTTCAAAAATATTTTAATCCAACTGCACTTCTTAAGAGTACGAGAAATAAAATACTGAAAAAAATATGACAAAGTTAAAATAAAAATAATGATCTTGAAAGATATTTTCATTTCATCTTATGTTAAAAAAGTTTTTTTCAAGTCATCCCCATTATTTTTAATTATTCTTTCATTATAAATATTGATAGGATATGGAGAAAATGTGTGTTCTGTATTGATTACTTTAAACAAGATAGAGAAAACATGGATTTCACTCATCTTATTCTCTTTCAATTTTTGCCAAAAAACAGTCATGATTAATATTAGTTAGTCCAAAGAAGGAACTTCTTTATTTTAATAACAGAATATAGGCCAGATTGACAGTACTACAAATACTTTTCCTAATCTTGAATATAAAACATTATATCCTGGTAATTAAGAGTTATAAGTCTTGTCTATCTATAGTACACACATATTTATACACTGGCATGTTAACTCTTATTCCTCAGTTATTCATATGAATATATATAGCATTCTTTGGTTAGCCATAGAAATGCATTCACCTATTTCATATCATCCAAGTTATCACACTACTACTGGTATGAAAAGCATGGTTTCTATAGAAACACAACGAAGTATTTAAAGTGTATGCATTTGTACATGTATATAATTTACATATGGCTAAATTCACAAAGAAATAGGTCATTTTACAGATTTTAAGAATGAAAGCAATAAATACAAATTATGAGAACACTCATTAAGAAAGGTGATAAATATCCAAAAGCTTCAAAACATACAAACGTAAAAAAAGCATTGCTATTTACCAATGAGCTGTTAAAAATAAGCTAGGTACAGTTCTAGCTTTACTTTTGTTTTTTTAAAGCCCCGGCGGCTTTAACTATTTGTATCCCCAAGGCAAGGCAACGCACGTAGCTTTATTTTGCCTTTCACCTTCTGCAACTAGAGCACTCACCCAAAACGAAGTCGTTAGCAAAAAGTGTGTACGTGCAAAGCCGAAGCCCTTTGGAGCAAAAGCAGCCGGAGGCCCCAGGGGGACCAACGGCAGGAGCCCCGGGATGCATTTGGCTCCAAGCTTGACAGATGCGGCGGAAGAGGAGCTGTCTGGTTGTGTTTAATGGCGACTTCCAATGGCCTGGCGTTCTCGTTCTCCCGAGTCCCGGGCACAAGTCCCGCCCCGGACTCTTCGCCGCAGTTGGCAAGACTCTCTTGCCCTTGCCCACCGATCCTCTCTCAGCCCGCCGGCCGCCCCTTCCTCTCCGAGGCGTCTTCCCTGAACCCGCAACCGCAACCAGCCTCCCCCGCCGCAGCGCTTCAGAGCCCAACCCGCCTTCTCCCCGATGTTACCACCACACTTCCCATGAACGCAACGAGCAAAGCGCCTGCCTTATCTCCACCCCCTCAAGCCAAAGGGATTCAAGGCAGCATTCTCCGAATAACTCCCGACCTCGGTCGCCTGCCGGACTGCGGGTCGCCCTGCCGCAGCCCTCGCCCCTCCGGCAGACTTTGGCGATAGGCCTGGAGCAAAAGCACCTGCGCCTACCTGTTGCGCCGCTTGTCAGCACTTTCCCCTTCCGAGAGAGCTGGTGGACTGCCTCCTTCCTCTGGCTTGCACTTCCTCCTCCTCCTGGGGCTGCGGCTGTTACCACCGTTGCGTCAAAACCGGAACATGGCGTCAGAACCAGCTGCTATATATGTATGTATATATATATATATAGGAGGGAACAAGCGGGAGTAGGAGTTCCATGCGCGCCTGGGCTTGGGCACCCCCGCGTAATTTCAGGGAGCCAGCAGGCCGCCAGTGAAATACCTCATTCCGGAATTCTTGAATCGTTTGCCGAAAGGATATCCTTGCAACCCAGTAGGCTTTGTTGTTTGTTGTTGTTGTTACCGGTTTAGTTTGCCACAAGTGGGCAAAAATGGCCGAAAGCGCACGTTCTCTTGGTGCGCCAAAACAATGTGTGAGATAACGCTCTTCTCCCCTTTTCTGTGGGTGGAAAACGGAGGTTTAGCTCCTTTTCTGGCCAACCACCATTACGTAGCTAAACTCTCCCATCGCTCCACTCAGCTGTGACCCTTTTAATCAAAACGCACTGGCTGGGAAAAAAAGAGGGAATGGTACTTTTTTGTTCATATTTGTTTACCAATACTGAGTTCTTGCTTGATGCTCGTGAATTTTGCCTCGTAGGCTTGATTGCTCCTTATCTGCCCGGGAAGAACCGAAGAAAACCCTCTGCATTATAGGGTCCCTGCCAGGGATGGGATTCAAAAATCCCAGACTCCCTGCCTACCATGATCAACTTGATATTTAAATTTAATGGGGAATATGTTTCCAATAAAGTTTTCTTTACCTTGGGATTAAATGCCTTTGGATTTCCAAGATTAATTTCAGAAATGTGAAGGAGGTAGGTATATGTTTAGTTCTCTAGAGTCTAAAAAGCAATATGTTTAAAAAGTAGAATTGCTTGCAATGATGAAAATATTGTAAGGGGAAAGCTGTATTAATGTACAATTTATGCTGTTTAATAAAGTTGTTAGAAAATGTGCTACAGATTCTTTTTTCCAAGGTCTAGTTGTCAGGAGGAGAGGCATAAGCTGTTCAGCATGCAAAAATTGAGCATTCTTTAACATGGAGTTGCATCCTTGACTTGTTTATTTATCATGATCAAATGAATAGGCTGTTATTTGAGTGCCACACATCCTATAGCACAGCAATTTGTCATCAAGCCTCTCCCTCATACAAGCACAATAGCAACAAAGAATCAAAGAAAAAACAAAGCTAAATGAAGAGCAATAATCTCATAACCACTTCTTTCACAACACTGGAATGACTCAATTTGACAAGGCCCCTAGACCTAATGACTGCACCTATCTTAACCTTAAGTTAGGGCAAGCAAAACCTGAGCAAGAATGCAATACTGTAGCTGCATCTGATACAGTGACTTGAAATTCAAAAGATTCTGCATTACAATTGAAAGAATGATTAAGAGGAAACTGAACCAGAGGCTCCAAAGATGCCAAGTCTGGTTAAGATTATCATACAACATACACCTTATTTACAGAACTCACTAGTTAACCCATTTCAACCTATTGCTACATTGTCTGAATGCAGATTATATAGGCTACATTGTCAGAATGCAGATTACATATCGTAGTTAATGTTTCAAATTCTGCAAATGCAGAAAAATTATTAGCTGAATATCCTTAACATGTCATGTGAACATGAGCATTCACTATTTAGTGATCGAGCTATACTCACGTAAGGTAAAGTCTTCTTTGAGTCAAGCTCAACTCCCTATGATTTCAAAGCCTTATTCAAGGCAAATCCAAATCGCTTCTGGATTTTTTAAAAACTTCTTAATATACCCAATAGCCCTGAATTCTATTTCCCACCCCAATAGTACCATACTGCTTTTAAAAACTTTTTATTGAAATGAACTGAGATCAAAAGCCAATTTCATTTCTCAACAGTCAATTAACAGTTTCTGAAATTAACATGGCAACATTACTTTATTTGACACCATGCCCCAAATTAGCAATGTTATTTATGGTGTAATTAAAGCTTAATTGTATTTCTGAATAGAAATTTTATAATGCATATTATAATCTTGGTCAGTACTTGTTTTATCCAATTAAATATCATTAAAATTCATTTTTATACAATACATAAGCATGAATAAAATTGAATTTCTCAGTATGGTTTCAAACAATACTATGCTGCAGTTAAAGGTTTATTATAATGGATGAGTTATATCCTAAAAGTACATGTCATTGTCGAGTAACATAAATTGGAAGTTATGATAGTATTTTTGTTTCAAATAGCTACATATTGGTATTGAGGTTGCAATTATTACAACAGTTAACTATTCTTCTTGGGATATTTACCTTTCTTTACCAATGGACAGGAGCAATACATGTAACATTACTACTTTGTTTTTACCGCTGCTAAACAAACAATATTGCCTTTATAAGAGATTAAACACTGGCACAACAGAAAATGAATTGGAGAATATAATCAATGCTTTTATTGAAGATATACTACTTCAATTTCCTGTTACTCAGCATGCCCTACAAGTTCATAGTCAATCCTACTTATCTTTTTATTTGCCTTATCTCATACAAAAAGAACTTCTGGAATGGACATGAGCAACCCTTGGCCACCACCTTCAATTTCATAGCCTTTTTGGCAACAAATTAAAGGGGTTACTTTTGAAATGTGCTGATATATACCTCCCATTGCAAAAACAGTCAAAACTTTGGGGACCAAACCCTTCTAAAGATGTCACCAACATGTTTCTTGTGGCCTTCATATTTTCCTCAATTATCCAAAATGTTACCTGCTTATTTAGAAAGTTTTATATATGTAAAGACTGCTGAACACAAAAAAACGAAGTATGAATACCTTTCATCTACATGCTTTTTAAAGAGTCACTATTAAAGATGTAACCTAAAAATCCTCGAACGATGGTCTTTCCAAGTAATAGCCCTCTAGCTTTTATCCAGCTCTTCAATTACTTCTTTCTGAATTTCCTTTTCAAATTTTGATGTGTCATACTCTAGCATCATATCAAATTGTCTCCAAGGCATTTCCCATTTTTTAATTCTTTCTTTGTCTTTTTCTGTAAGATAATCATCAAAGTTGATGCCCTGGATATTGTATTTTGGATGTTCCCAGCGTTTTGACCACGGTTTAGGCTTCATTTTGACCTTCATCTAATATAATTCAAAATAAAATGTTAGCATGTGAATATCATATTTCAGCAAAATACTTTCAAAAATTGTATTTTGTACTCATAGAAGTCCCTCATTCATATATAATGATTTTTAGCAATGCTGACAGATCGGATGTTTCCCAATTATTCTTGGAATAGGTGAACTTGTGCCAATCACTATCTGCTGACTGAAACTCTCGGGGATTATACTCCTTAGATGAAATAACAACAGCAACAAAAATAGGTGGGCTGTACTTCATACTTCAAGAACCTTATTGGTCAAATACAATGCTGTGCTGGAACCTAAAATCATTTGAAAACCCTTGGAATTTGGCACATTTTGCAGAGAGATCTTCATGCTCCTAATAAGAAAATGTTTTTCTTTGTTAACTCAAAAGCATTTATATAGAGTGTGTGGAATGCTGACAATAATAAAAACAGGCTATATCCCTATACAAGATAGTCCTTGACTTAAGAATGCTTGCTTAGCAATTATTAAAAGTTATGATGGACCTCCCTGGGGATATTTACAACAGTTCCAAAGATTTGATGGCCAGGCCCCCTCTGCAGACACCGTGTCTGCGTGTTGTGTGCTTGGCAACTGGCCCACATTTATGGTCCTTTGTAGCATCCCACAGTCCTGTGATCTCCTTTTACAACAGTTTAACCAAAAACTACCATTTATTTTTGGTTTTCAGCAAATCTGGTTTCTGACCTGCCTCCCAGAAATGATAAGCACGCTGGTTGTTGTTGTTTTTTACTAACGTTCCCATTATTAGGAGTGCCAGCAAACCTGGCAAAGAGTCTCTCTCTCTCTCTCTCTCTCTCTCTCACACACACACACACACACAGCAGCCTAACGAAGACTCTACGTGCCTGTGGAAATTGAAGCTCGCTCCCTTTCCCCCTGAAATCGCTTCAATCCACCAGGAGTCTCTCTCTCTCTCACCACACTTGTAATGGACATCCTGAAAGGTGCGCTCGCTCTTTTCCCAGCAGCGGACACCCACACATACGCTCCGAAGGCGCGCCTGACTCTCAGTGCTTCAGAATCAAAGAAAGAATTCCAATAGTTCCAAACAGGATCCAGAATTCAGACTATTGGTGGCTGACTGACAGGGAAATGAATAGTTGCCTGCCACATCTATTCGTCTCCACACCCTTCTATCCCCAGAGCTAGGGTGGAGCTTAGCTAGCAACAGTGGCTCTTCTGTCCCGAGGATCAGCCCATAGCTTCCCGTTGCTCTCCTCTGCCTTTGTGCATCAGGCATGGGACCCAGTTGTTCCTCTTCCTCATCAGCCACCTCCACACCTGGACGCTGTTGACTCTCCATCTGGGGGCTGATAGACAGCCCAGGCTCTGACTCTGTCTCTATCTCTGACAGCACCATTCCATTCAGAGCTCTCAGATTGTCTTGATGCTGGCTCTGACTACCAGTCCACCTCATTTGATTTGGCTGTCCAGGGGGTGGGCGGTGGCCTACAAGCCACAACTGGCCCATAGTGAACCATTGGTTCACTTATCAACTGCAGGTTTGCTTAATGAGTGCCACAAAAAAGTCATTAAAAAGTTGGTAATATGGGTGACCTGATTTATGACCATCATGATTGTGAGGGGCAGGTTCCAATAGTCCTAAATCAAGGATTATCTGTAACCTGACAGGAAACCTCTACTGGGAGAACATTCTCCAAGCAAGTAGAATTCTGTGCAATAACGCAAAATTATTTTCAAGAACAAATTGTTAGCTGCATGCAGCAATTACCCCTTTAGATTACCTTATTGACAGGAACTTCATCATAAAGTATGTAAGACACTGGCTTCATGTTTACATCAACAGTGCTGAACTCTGGCAGAGCATCTCGTAAATACATCAAGTTATCATCTGGCCTCTTCTCCAACTTCAAAACCTTGATCTCATGGATTAGGGGATTATATAATTCATAGCAGATTTCAACACCTTAAAATGAACATTATTTCTTTAATTGATATAGCAAATGCTTACCACGCTTAGCTAACAAATAAGGGTTTTCTTAGAATGAACCCATAATGCACCAAGTTTTTAAAATATGAAAGCTGAATTTTCCTTGTGTGATATGATCAATTTTTAACCTGTTTGAAGCCGATACTGCTTCCTTTCGTGAATGTCCTGACTACATCCTTAAAAGGCATAACAAACTCTGTGTACTCACCTTGTCCATTTATTACATTTCTAAGTTTGAAAGTTGCACCAAGTCCCTTTCCTGATCGCTGAATACAAATTCCTACAAAAGTGTTGCATTTTCCATTGGAATATGGATCCATTGCAGAAACAGCAAGTATACTTCCTGGGAGAAAAATAAAATAATTCAACATTCAGAGAAACTAAGTAAAATCAGACCATGGATTAATATAGAGTAAATACAATAAAAATCAACAATTTTCTGATATAGTTTTGTTGCATGTTGCATACTTTCAACATTCTGGAAATCACATGGGCAAATACTGCATATTGGACTAGGGTTTTTGCATGTGATTCATTCCAAATTAAATGAGAAGTCAGGTTCACCAGCCAAGCAGTTGATCAAATATATACATGCCCACTCTATTGTACTATTTATTCAAATTGATATAAATATTTTTATACTCTAAAGTGCTCAAGGTGTCTCAGATCTAGAGGGGCCCAAGTCACAGCTAACTTCTGGGATTTGCCACTATGGTTATAAGAAATATGTACCATAACTAAGCCTTCATTTCTCCTTACCTAAAATATTTATATTCTACAATAGAAATTTATTAGGTTAGCTGTTTCTGCGAATATGTTAATTATAAGTAACAATTCAAAAAATAACATCTTTTAAATATCACAGCTACTAAATTCAGATTATATTTTTCATAACAAAACATTAACCCACCTAATGATTTGCTTTTTCAATTTATAAGGCTCTAACTTACTAGGTATATCTGTGTCTCTTATGTGTTCATTTATGAAAAAAAATATTTAAAATTATTTTAAAATTTAGTCACATATTTTGTTAAACTTCCCTTAAAATATAAAAGTATTTAACTCTGTAACATTTAAAATGGAACTTCTTTCTAAACTGAGTATTGTATTTGGTTATTTATAACAGTTGGATAGTTGTACGGACAACAGTTACATTAATTTGTAGGCAAAACTTTTTTCAGGTTTCCAAATAGTTTTGGAAAAAGAATATCACAGCTTGGAAGTACATACTCATTAAAGTTAATCCAAACCTTATGCAGAATTCTCAAAAAAGCCAGGCAACTTGAACAAATAGTAGAATTCACTATGTTCACGTGATGTTTAAAGCAGTTTTGGATCATTTCAACATATAGAGTCCTACTAAATTGAACATTATATATAAAAACATGTTGTTTTACATTACAGTACAATTATGTATGATGTAAGCAATGCCACATTATGAAGTTAACATTCTAAAAATAGTACTGACCGGCATAAAATTCTGGAATATTGATTACTTTTCTTCTTTTTATCATATGTTGTCTTTCAAGGAAGAATTTTAAATGATTTGTTCTCTGCCGTGGAGGGATGAATTCAGGACTCAAGAACCTATAGACATATAAATAGCTTCAAAATAGAAGAAAATTTGACTTGTTTAACATTTAAAGATCAAATACAACTAGTGTTATTTTTACCGTTTCCCTGTTGCTTGTTGTTTCAATTCATCAATAATAATTGGCTTGGGAGGTGGTTTAAATTGTTCTGATTCTCCATCTTTACTGTTGAATCCTCGAGCTGATAAAGAAAGGCACCCTTTGGAAGAATAATATTAAATTAGTTAACTGCTATGTTTTAACAACATCTACACTACTAGCCTTGTGTACTGTACAACCAAACATCCTTGCATTTCACGTCTGTATAAAAAATTACGAAGGCGCTTAAGAAATATAATCAGATGCATATTGGCTTCTGTGATCCACCTTAGACACTAATATCTATACACGTAAAGGCTGGGTTGTTGAAAATGCAGTTCTTGCAATAGAAGAACAGTCTTCTGATATCTAATACGTTTATAACGGCATAAATTTTTGTGGACTAGGATTCATTCCATCAACCCATAAAGTGCTAATAAAGTGCAGTTGACAAATGCAACGTTTTTTTAAAAAACAAAACAAAACCCGAAGATAGGCTTGATTCACACACAAGGCGCAAAAAGCATAAAATACAACTATTACATACCGACCCTTCCTTCCCCCCCCCCCCCCCGGTAAGCTTGGGGAGCCTGAGATTCTCACTATCTTCCATTAACGGGGTTCTTGCACTCCGGGATATACAAAAGCAGAACCAACTGAAACGGCAATCCCTATTTCCATAGCCTCTTGTGCGGAGAATAACGACAAAAGCATGCACAAGGACAAAAGTCAACAGTTTCACACTCAACAAAGGCCTTTCTTTTTAGGAATATGTCTCCTCGGAAGGCAAAACGTTCGTTCAAAACGAAAACTTACTACAGCGCCCAACAAGCGGCAACCAAAACTTCCTCGTAAGAACGGCCATG